ATCCGAATCAAACAAAATCTCGATGATGTCGGTCCGTCTGTATTCTCATTTCCGGGTAAACTATACGTAGGTAGATTGATTCTAGTATTAACAGTTTCATTGAAAAGTGGCGCGGGGTCAGGAAAGCCGCAAATATACACTGCGAAGATGCAATTTAATCTGGATATATACGTTCTTAACTTACTTTTAATTGCAACTCTAATTTTTAACCAATATTTTGTGAATATGGTTAAAATATAAGATAAACATGTACTTCAATTTGTTTATTATTGCAAATGGCGAATGTGACAATTTATTATCATTTTTTACGATATTATCGTTTTGTGTCATATCGACCCGTTTCCTTTTAACACCACTATTTCGCAAATCGCTTAAAAACACATCACGTTAGAAGAGGCGCCTAGGTATACGTGGTTATTCGGAGTCCGTCCTAAAAACAGGAGCTTTTTATATATATAGATATAATACTGCATCGAACGAACTCACTTTCCCTTCAATGGTCTAATCCCTTGTGGGAATGTTATATAAAAAGACAATGAGAATGTTAGCATTCTATTACAGTTAAAGCGCTCAATGGGCATGTTTGTGTGCATTTAACTGGTAATTCAATAAAAAATTTAGCATTATCAAAGATCTTGTGAGAATATCAGGAAGAAAAATGTTCATTGTTCGTAGCAAGCTTAAAGTGCCAAAGGCCTCTTTAAGATGCCACAAAATTGAGAGATTTATAGCATTATTTTATCATGCATCTGTATCTTACACTTCAAAACTTTAACGCAACATCATCTTTGCCTAGATAGCGGTGTAATTACTGATGCGCCTCTCGTAATTCAAGTTTATTTTAACTTTAGTTTTAATTTCAAATTAGTATGAGATTTGAAATAAGTATTTCGGTGTCTACTCCAAGAACAATAACATTATTTGTTACAGATGGCACCTATGATAATTAATTTTCTTAAATTTCGGATTTAAAATTGGAATTTGAAATTCTATAAAACTTGAATTTTCTTAGATTCTACATCAATTGAATAAACAAAATTCTCCACCGCTAAAAGTGTTTTTTGTGCAGCAATTACATTATCTACCGGCATCCCAGTTTTAGAAATTTCCGAGAATTTTACAATTAGTGAAATGCATGCCGTAGGTAAACAGAATTTGTTCTATACATTGCATCATCGGGTTTTCTAAAAGGGATACTAAATTACTGGTGTTTAAGTTGAACTCAGTTAGTCGGCATTTGTGCTGTTGAACCCTCTGTAACAATAAAATAAAGTAAAAAATATACTTCAAACAGTCACATGCTTTAATTGCTATACCCACGCGGATTAAAAGTCAAAAGTGGAAAAAATTCCATTTGCGCTTTTAAAAGGTCATTGTAAAATGTCAGGATTGAAACCTAACCTGAATTCCGCAGAAGAAACTTTTTGGGTAACCCGCCAACGTTCCTGGTTTTTCTTTCTCTTCGCTCCACAACCTTCGAAGTTGGAAACAAGGGTTGAGGTTTATTCAGAACAATGAACCCACAATTTCAGCTTCGCATTTTCACAAATAGGGATAAGACATGGGCGGGTTACCGAAAATGCGCTCATTGGCTTAAATTAGTTATTTGCAACCCACAGATTCGATTTGTATCGATCTTTTTTTACAAATTTTTTGAAACATTAAGTGCTAATATTCGTTCTTAAGGCGTAGAAGGGAAATATGTTGTTGTGTAAACAACGTCATGCAGACGTTGTAAACCCCAAAAATAATGACGGGACACCCTGTATATGACAATATTTCAATTTATTAAATCTGATGGATTATTTACGAAATAAGCACAGAGCTGGTTTATTGCATTTGAATTTGTGCTTCAGTGGCTATTTTTCCGTTTGGAATGGTTTGTAATTGCGTAACTGTGGTTTAAATCGTATTGGTTTTGTAAATTGTTTATTTAGATCTATGTATTTAATTGTGAAACGTGAAATTGCGCCTTAAAATGTAGGGACATCAGGTCGCTTGCGAAAAAGACGACTGACGAAATTTAATTAACGCACGTGTTCGTATTGCTGCAGGTATTTTACGATGTGCGCTTTATTTTGGCGTAAGTGGGGACGCGTTGCTTCGAAGCTGTGATTATATAATCTGATTGTGATTGGCGCTTGATTTAAAAAATCCTGAAGAGGGAGTTTACCTTATGGTGGTTTCTTAAATACTGGTATCAACGTAAATATGCAGCTGTACGACTGCCCATTTTTTGCGACGTTTAAAGACCCTGTTTATCTGTTTACACTAAATCTCGGGCAGTCATCTTTTCGGTTCGAATTAAATATGTGCAGAAGGTTTTGAGTCTGTTTGTTCAAACTTTTTAAATGCGCAGAAGTTATAGTCTAAGAGCTAGCGAATCATTCGCCTAACCCATTTCCCACAAACCTAGAAAATTTGATACTTTATTATCAGTCATTTAAGAAAATAGCGTGCTGGCACGTATCTCGCGGTTGCGTCATCCTTGAAATGTTTGAAATTTACAATTTTTGATTAGCGAAAACTTAAACATGAAACTAGGTCTACTTTAGCAATCATTTTGGATCATCAAAAGAACCCAAAATTTGATTGAGGAAACGGTTAAATGCATTGATACAGAAAAATAAAATTGGCTCTGTTGTAAACCACGGTTAACCCTTTGGGTCATTATTTATGTACACTATAGAAAACAAGTTGTAAATCAGCATATACATGATTAAAGCGAATTTTCGGTAATACAGATCAGTATTTTATTAGCAAAATTTAACATTATCAATTTCACGAGTAATCTAACTCAGACTAGAGCTTGCACATTTATACTATAATCTCGACTATAATAGAAAGCTTTTAGTGAAAATTTGAAGTTTCTAGCTATTGTAATTGCCGAGATCTCAGCCGGACAGCCAGCCAGCCAGGCACAACTAATATAATAGCGTTTTTTCTTTTCAAAAATGGGTTTTCAGAAATGGAAAATGGGAAATGTCTTTTTGGTTATAAAACTTCATTTCTTTAATAAGGCATTAGCAACATCTAAAAAAAACTCCAAAGGCTGCCATTTTGTCATCTTAAAGATACGATACAGATTTTTCAAAAATAGCTATTCTTCAATTTCGACAAAGTTAGGCACACGCGTTAGGTACATCGCGAGAACACAAAACAAAAAGTGCGGCGAAAAACTATTTTGGTGGGCAAATTTTCAGATTTAAATTATCGATGAGAACCTGAATACTTTTAGGTAACGGTTTGTCTGTAACAGCCTGTACACCGTCAAATCGTTGACGGGGCAAATAAAATCTAATTTATCATTATTATACTGGGTGAAGATTTTGTCTGGAACACAGAATTATAAAAAGTTTTCTACTAATCTACGTACTTGTGATCAGTGACGTACTTCCGCATGGTCAAGGGGGGCTTATTTTTCTTTAAGGGCTTTAATTCTTTAATCACCAATCACTAGTTCTCGTGACACATTCTTAAAGAATACACTTTTTTGGATATAGTAGCATAAAAAAACGTATTATATTACATAATCAAAATAGAGAAAACTCAAATTAAGGAAGCGGTTGTGATAAATAATTTTATTATTTCACTAGTGTGCGTGGAAAAAATCAATAGAATTGTGTTAATTATCTGAAAGCAATTTATTGCATTAAAGATCACTAACAAATGCTTAAAAATTATTTATAGTGGCGTGCGTTTACCGAGGCGCCTAGTGAACTAAGAGGGTCACTTTTTTTTACTGGAGTTTCGTGAGGTGTTATTAAAGAATGAATCAGAAATCACTTAATCAAAATAGTACAATTATGAAATGAATTAACAAACTAGCTTCCTTAATTTGAGTTTTAATTTGAATTTTATTATGTAATATGATAAGTTTTTTATGTACCATGTAATGAAAACTAGTGGTTGGTATTTTAAAAAAATGCTCCTTGGACTATGCAGAAGTACGCCACTGACCACAAATTGTAAGTATTTAGATTGGTAGCAAACTTTTTTATAGTTTTGGCTACCATAAAAATCATCTTTAAAAAAATGTTGTTTTGAAGATGTATTCAGTGTTCCAGACAACATCTTCACCCTGTATATTAGGGAATAATCATACAAATGGAAAGTTTGTTTTTCTTCTTTCTGTTTAAACGAGACGGTAATAAATGTGGTACACATGACTGATATTCTCCACTGCATAATCAGAAGAGTTAAACTTTGCATACAATGATTAGGGGGTGAAATATTTGTTCTTGGTTTTGGGGGCGGGTATTTATTGGGAAAAATCGATGGTAAATGACTAGTAGGTTGACTTGACATATACGTACCTATTTCTGGTTTTTGGTGGGAAAAGAAGTGTATAAAAGGTGAGAAAAAATTGTCGAATTTGATAGAAAATGACGGAATAATCGTCGGAAGGGGACTTCAAAAATTAAAAAAAATTATGTACACTCAGAGGAATTAACAACACAAAATGACAAGTGAGTTTTTGGTGTTGGCGAAACAGTGGAGAAAGGCGAATTTAAAAGGTACTGCGAGCTAAGAAGAGTTAAAATTGATGGAAAATGGCTAGTGAGTGGTAGTGAAAGAAGTGGAAAAAGGCACTTTTAAAAGTGAAAAAAAATATTGTGTGTAAACATAGATATTTTATTCGAACTATAACAAAAATATAAAATATAAAACGATCTATTAGTGCTGCTAATAAATGATACGTTGCCGATGCAACTTCGTCCACCACCAGAAATAGTGTGTTAGTACAAAAATTAAAATCTCATTATGTCAATATTGGAAACAATCTCAAGAGGAATGGAAACGTGTAGTTTGAATTTCGCCTTGCACTTTAAGGAAAACAATAAAATGTGTTATATTTCCATTCCTTTCCGTTCTACATCGAAATTTAATGACATTTGCACAACGCTCAACAAGTGTGAGAGAAATTCTAAACTCTATAATAGAGCTGCACTGTCGGTACACAATTAGCTACACTAAAATATGAGTGACAGAAAACTCACCTGGTAATCTTCGTAACGTTCGACTGCTACAACAAACCGACAATGAGAGGAAACCGTTGACGAGGGCACTTCACGAAGACCACTCCATGAAGAAGTTCGCACCAGGTTTTATACCACCTGGAGTGCAAAGCGCAGCCTCCACGCCGCCTCTCATGCTGTCGAGGGCGGCGTGCTTATCTTACCACTAAATGTGATTTACCTCATTTTGATTTTGCCATTATTTAATTATCTCTTTTAGCTCTAATTAGTACATGGAACAGAAACGCTGCGTGCTCTCGCTAGCCATCGTAATTACTATACTAAAATTTCAAATTGTGCGTTGTTTTCCACTTTTGCAACTTTATCGTCGGTTTCGTGTTGTCAAGTAGTGCTTTTGAGAGAATTAATTACCTACAACATCGTATTCAAATATCTATCCTATCGGGCAATTAATCGAACAGGAACTGTAAGTGATTTGGCGATTCCTGATTAAACTCTGCCCCCTGGGGAACATGCTGAAATATGAATGCTTATAACCAATACCCTATTTTTAGCGCTTTTACTTTGTGAGTAAAATGTATCTACTTACTTGTGTCTATTTAGTAAATTGAGAAACTTTTGCGAATTCCAAACGATAGGTATACGATTATTTTTTGGACGCGATAAATTCGCCCCCATGAGAAAATACGATAAAACATTCTTTTCTATTCCCGAAGAAGGTAATTGAACACATGACTGAAGATATTTCATTTTTTTCTGAACATGAATTTGAACTGCGGTGAATTTTCTGTGGGATAATTCCAGAACTTTTTAGGGTAACAGTCAGGTCCAAATTAAATTGTTTTTGGAACGCAGCCTAAAAATCTATCTTCTAGGAAAATCTTAAAATGACTTACTGCAATAGTTTCTTCTCGTGAAGCATTTCTAGCCGCCGTAACGGCCATTTTAATACTGAACTGCTTCTTATATTAAAATATATAATAGGCTTTTGCCCTTTCTAAATTGATTTTGTATTTCAGTTATAATTGCACAAGAGGTTTGTATTTTACCGAGTAAATTTGGGTTGTTTAGGTAATGAAAGTCTGTTGCCTAGCAATTAGACGAGAAAAACTGTCAAGTAATAAAAATGAAACACCGAAGCTGGAGCATTTTTAGGTTGACAGTTTTTCGAGTTCAATTGCTAAAAGGAAACAGATCTGAATTGCAACAACCCAAATTTACTCGGTTTAAATACAAACCTCGAGTGTAATTCGGCAGGACAATTTAACGAACAAGAAATTCACCAAATTAATCAATTATTGACAGACGTCAAACTAGTCATATGGGAAAGGATAATGCGATAATTGGTTCGAAAATGAATAAGTGAAAAAACCACTAGTGCATTTGTCGCTGGAAAAGTTGCAGGTAACTTTTGCCGCTGTCAAAGTGACAATTGCACTGCGGCTTATGCGATTTTTTTTACATGAGTTGAATTGTCAAATGAAAATGCGAAGATTTTATTTTAAGCACGTGGCAATTATAGAGAATACATTTTTAATGTCTTAAGAGTAAACAACCTTCGAAATTTTCTCCGTAGCGCACACTATTGAACTAAACACCTTGCGGCATTCATCCTTCTCGTCCAAATACTTGGTATAGCAATCATCGGCAATTTCCTTCGTCATTCCTTTTATTTGTTCCAAAATTAGTTCGATTCGAAAGTTTCCATTTTTCGGTTCGTAGAATCCTAGACCCTCAAAGAGACACTTAGCGTAACACTGATGGATTTTTAGAGTCGGATAGACTTTTCTGGAAATGGTCCCGACTACTTCCTCTCGCTTGACATTAACCTCAGTTACACATTTTTCCTCGTAAGGCCGTACCATGGCTTCCCATGCTTCTACTAGGTCATCATCGGCATTAAAATGCTACAAAAAATTACGCAATCGAAAAGGCTATGACAGTATAGACTTACAAAGTGTCCAAAAATTGAGCAGAAGAACGTGAACAAAATTATTAACTTCATTGTGAGCGCAGATGTAAAATATTGAACTGTGACTTTTCTAAGATAAGTCTCAATACTGCTTTACCAAGCTTTTTTGATCTCTTGATGATCTGTTAGATTTTGCATTTGGCTGACACCATACAATTTTTAATAAATTATAATGCAGGGTGCATTATATGTTGAACACACTTATCGCAATTTTTTATACTTGTATTTATGATAACCTAATAATAATCATTGACCGACCGCCTGCAAATGCGCTTAAAGAGATTGTTTTTTAATCTCTTTAACTTGTATTTAACAATTCTGATTGACACAAGATTAACGACACGCGTACGAATAATAATAAAAACAGTAATACCTAACAGACCCCCCTCCCCAACACCTTATATTTCGGGGATTACTAAAATGATCATTCACTACACTCTCCCCCACTTTCTTCATGCTGGAGGATGTACTCTTCCAGGTGCATTGGCTTTTGGTGACGTTTGGTAGGTCCGCTAGACTCAAGAGGACCAATCTGATCTGGCTGATCCGACTGAAGCTCTTGTTGAACTTGACCTGCTTATAGAAAAGTTTTCTGTGAAGATTCACTGTTAGACGGCGCCGACGGTTGGGCGGAAACGGTTCAAAATTAATTCCTGTCGTTTGTCAAGCGAACGATGAGGGTTCAAAAACTGCTTATCCTTATCCTATCCTGTTGTTCTTGGAACATCAGAGTGTTTGTTTTCGATTTTTTTAGCATACCTTTGTAACGTGACCGCAGGAGATGCACTTCGAGGCAATGACGTGATCTATGATTTGCTTGGCCACATTTGAGACATAGACCAATGAACTTCTGAACTTATGAGACTGGGAACGTTGACGTGGCTGAGGGCAAGTTTTTATATGAGATTGCCTAAAGATTTTTACCGTTTCATCATATACATATGTACTTCTGAGACACACTAGAACTAAACCAAAAACACTTGAAAGGACTCTAAGGGATTCTTGATGACTTTGAGGTTGAGCTGAGGTTGTAAACTATCTTCGATTCCTAAAGGCGCTTAAAGGCTTTAAAAACACATCAAACTTTTTAAAGGGTTTTGGGAAGTACAAGTCCTTTTCGGAGTCTTAGAGTATTTGGAGGTTCGTGGAGAGTTTACACTAGACTTTAAGGACCGTTAAAAGACTCTTGCAGATCCTTTGACATTTTTGAAACTATTGTCTACTTCTAAAAAGTTCTTGAATATTTTTAAGGGCTCTTATTTGCAGTACATTCAGTGAAAGCTTGAAAAAAGGTATTTTCAAGATTAGTATACCCTTAAGGATAATAATCAAATTAAAAACTTTCAAAGACCTTTGAAGTATCGCAGAAAACTGTCATAGTTTCTTAAACACCCTGATAGATATTTTTATTTCATTTTTCAGGTTGAACGCCGAAACCAGGCACGTTGGAAGGCATTTATTGCCAAAAATGTGTATATTTTCACTACATACCTATACAGCGATATTTATTAAGAAGTAGACATAGGAATTTACGAGTATTGTTTTCTCCTGTGACTACTTTTAAATGACAAAATATCTTCTGAAGGGCGCCTTATTTCATACAATGACAATAGCTTCTTAAAACAAATAAAAATCTAGCTGTCATATTGATTGATCTGAATATTGTTGCTTTGGCTTCACAGAAAATAAATCTCTTAGGCTCGTTAAACTGTTACCGGCACTATATCTAACACCATCAACTTTTTCTTCAGTTGATTACATGGCACACGCACGAAAATGAAAATACGGAATCCAAAGAGACAATAATAAAACTATTATTATTATATTATTAATGAATTATTAAAACGTTGTGCAATGCATCCTACTGATATCAGGCACTTGAGAAGAAAAAGTCAATATCTTTTTATTTAATTGCGTTATTTTTTCTTTATAAATGAAGTTATATTACAATGCATGTACATGGTACATTATAAATACAATATTATCCAATTTTTAATCGAATTGAATTAATAAATAAATTATTACTAACGCTGATTAACACAGGTTTACGCTTCCGTGGTCATCCCTTTCAAAAAACATACAATTGTTGAATATACTTTACGGCATTCGTCAGATTCGTCCCTGTACTTTGGGGCACAATGGTCGTAGAGTTCTTTTGTCAAATCCCTTGGTCTCCCTACGTACTCAAATTCACCCAGACTCACATTGTAAAGTCCTATGCGGCTAGCCATACATTTAGTGTAGCACCAATAAGGCCTGTCGTCTGGATAGTCTTGATGTATCAGGGTGTTCACAGCCATGCTTCTATCAACGTTACTCTGCGCGATACATGGTTCAATGTGTGGTCTTCTTAAATCGGTTAGTTCGCGTAACAGTCGTGGGTTTGCATTAAATTTCTAATAACATTCTTAGTTTCTAAGGGATGGAAGATGAATGATACTTACATAGGCGAAGATCAGTGGAAGAATTGCGAAAAAAGTTGTCACCCTCATGATGCACTGTTTATATCTACGCCATTGCCAAGGTTTCATGTGATTTTAAAGGAGACGGTGATGACGCCAACACTTTTTTTACACGTAAATAAAGGTCGAAGCTTACGATAACAGAACCTTTTGTAGATATCTCCAGAAATGTTGCAAATGTATGACGAAATGTCCTCTTGGTCTGATAACATCATGGCAGGCTGTGGCAACATGCCTGACCAGACACAAGTGATTTGATAGCAGTTTGGGTGACACAACCGGAAGGACGAGCGAAAAGTACCTAATAAGGGAGGGATGGTGAGATAATCCGTCGTGATCCAACCAAAAGTAATTTGGATTTGTCCATAATTTTTGTTGCAATTCCCTTAATTTACTGTTGGTTCAATAATGAAAAAAAATATAAACGTTTCTCACACTCACACTGACTTCTTTTTGTAGATTTGTGCCCGAAATGTCCTTTAGGCAAATCTTCTTCGTCGCAAAAACTACGATAGTCTTGCCTGACCTTACTGCTCTTCCAAGCATAATTCTCTCACACTGTTTGTTGAACCGAATCTAAGTGTTGTAAACCTATTCTGGCATTTTGTGGGGTCATCTCATGATATCATTTTAGCAACTGTGCAACAGGCGCGTCGGCGAGATAATAATGTTAGTCGGGGTTGTTTTTTAAACGGTAGGTGCCAGCCGTTCATTTTTTATTAAATTTAGCGTGTAACCAGAGCTGATGAATATGCTTTTGGGGAGGGGTAACAGGATTGTATGGTGTTGAATGAACCAATGTGAATGGGATCTCTCTGTATGGGCATACATATGTTTCAGGATTGTCGTTTATATCATATACCAACATTCAACCCCAACCGCTTCCTATTTTATAAAATGTGCGCCTAGTGTTGTTATTATTTCGTTATATTGCAGCGAATTTTCTAGAGCGGTATTAAGGCGCCATCCTGTCGCCACTCTGCTGATAAAGGATTAGTTACCGGCGATGATCTTTCCATGAAACGTAATATGCCGATTCGAGGCACCTCTAGAAACATATTGTTCTCCATATAAGCAAATCTAAGTGTGTTTAATTTGAGTCTTAACGTCCGAAGTAATAAATCCGCTTTCGTGTTATAAATGTTATAAATTTGTGTAATGTGAGTGAAAGTGAGCGATAAATAATCAACCATCGTAATTTAGTTTCTCGTTAATAGTGTTAGTTCCTATGAACACTTATAATTAATTTTACATAAATAAATCATTAAATTTAATGGCCCATGTGGCGCAGTGGAGTGGAAGCTCAGCTGTGGTACTGAGAGTCCCTACACGAGATAGAATAGGGGTTCGGGCATGGAGATTTGTAGATTTATAGTGGGTTAGGTTGGTACAGCAGTCTCGGCTAAAGCCTCGCCCACTTAAAAATAAAAGCAAAAATACAACAATATCAATATTCAATTATTACTATTATTATCAGAATCTTAGAATCCTCTTAGATCTTATCTTGAAAATTATTTCCAAAAATTTTAGTTTTAATTTGTTATTTTCATGTTTTGTGTATGTGTTAAGATTGTTACGTCCTTTTTCTTACCAATTTAAATTCCATTTAAGTAGTTTAATAGTTTAATAGTTTCCTGTAGTATGCATAAACAGGCATTTACAGTTGTCATTATTATCTAATAATATATAAACCATAACAAAAAGTCTAACATAACACAATAAATAATAGTTAGTATAAAATATAAATTACAAAACGATATAATTATAAAACAAACAACACGTCTTAAATTTCCAAATTCCAATTCCCAACTGCACTCAAATATTCCTCGTAACTATAAAAGGCATTTGCCAATAAGAATGTTTTAACTTTCTTTTTAAACCATTTTAGACTTAAGTGCCTAATACAAGTAACTGTATACTCTCATTCAAACTATTACGCCATCTAGGTATTTTCTTTGTAAACCCGTTTAGTTCAGATGCAAGTTATGTGTGTAGTAGATTTATTACCTTAGTTCTTTATTTTCACCGTTAGAGGCCATTCGCGTGTGTGAATTTCTTTACCTACACTACGATATTGTTCCTGTTTAACTGCAAAGATTACGAAATTAATTAGAAACCTTTGGGAGAATATGAGCTTTGTGAATCGCTTCGATATTTTTGATCCTACGTACTTTGCTTTTATCGTTACCGAATAATACACCTTACCGATTTGATCTACATTGCTATTGCTTTTGTAACTCCAAAAATTCATTCCTGCTAGTTTGATCACGTTGTATCCTTCAGATTAGTTTGTTATACGTAGATATTTAGTTACCGTTGCTTTGTAAATTAGTTACCGAGACTTAGTTCGAAACCGACGTCTACGATTTTTAGTTACGTTATTTGTCACCCCGAAAAATTTGTTCATGTTTAGTTAATTACATTTTGAATAAATTAGATCATTGCTGTTGTCTAGAAATTTAGTTATTTGTGCATCGTAAAGTAGTTTTCTTGCTTCATATTTTTATACTTACGGTTTTAGTATACGATTTACCTGATTAGTGTCAGACGTTAGACATTGCTATACCGCAATATTTATATGCCGCGCTATTCACTACCCCTCCTGTTTGTTTGTTTGTTTGTTTATGTTTGTGTTGTTATCTGTTAGCGCCCTTCTGAGCTCAAAGGGCCGTTACAACCACAGTTCAAACATTTTTTTAAAATTTTCGTTGACTCCTTAATATAACGTTTGAATACATACTGGTTTTCGATACAATTCGTTTATTTCGAACACTAAATGTAGGATCGATTTGTTTCTGGGCTACGGAGGCGTTAACAGTAGAGCTCAGAGTAAACATTTTTTTCGATATTACGGGTAGAGCGGCGACAAAGAAAGCTCGCGACATTCTTGCCGGTAATTGAGTTGGAAGTGATTTTGAGAAAGATATCCACACCATTCATCGCTAGAAATCTAGACAAAAAATATTTCGTTAGAGGGCTCAAAAATCCTACCTCATTATGGCGCAGCCCTAAATGGGTATCTTTGAACATGAAAATAATAGAACTCGATTGAAAATTATTAAATCCCGGCGAGATTAGAATTCTTTTCCACCCCGGTTTAGGTGTGCACTCTCTTGGGGAAGGAACTTTGGAAATTAAATGCATATATGTACGGCCCATAATGTTTTTGTCCCGAATATTTTTAACACGGATAACTTTTTTTACGCATGTGGTTACATGATAAGATATACTTCCTGTGAAGCAGGACGGGCTTAATTGGTGTTTTTATATAATCAGAAAGGGCATACCCACAATCTGCAAGTTGTGATTCCACTAAAAAAAGAAGAAACAAGTTTTTAATTTTTTGGAGCCCCTAAATTCTCCGTTTTGATCTTCGATTTATTTATTTTGCCGAAATGTTTGTTTTGGTTCCCACACATTTTTTTAATTTAAATGTAATCTAACTTTTCTGCTGTCCAATTAATCCTTGGACTTGGGCCTAACTAACGTTATGCCTTCAAGATGCAGTACTACAATACCACCCTCAAATCCCCTCCCCCTTCCCACATCTTTGGACTCCTGGGCTATTGCGTGGTTGTGCCTTATTAATAATAATTCGCAATAACGATCAATGTTATCATCCTCATTATGCACTGTCGAAGACCCCACCGTTGTCTGTGAAATAATATAATGAAATGACGCAGTGACCGTTTATATGTGATTGTTGATTTAAGGTCAACGATAACAGCAATTCTAGATATCTCCAAAAATGTTGCAAGAGTGACAAGGCGAAATACAAATGCCCCTTGGGGTGTGGAAATATTACGACTGTTTCAACATTGTTATTAAGAAATTTAATCGAATTTTTCATGTCAGTTATAATTTTTAAATGATCAACACACGAATCTCTTATTTTTATTATGCAATTTGTAGCTTTTTTCGCTTTTGATTGTTGGACTATTCAAGTCATGACAATAATATTTTGTTTGGATTCTTCAATTATAGTGGGGGTTCATAGGATCCTTCACTGGCCGGAAGGAGCACAAATGAACCATTGTTTATTTCGACCCGCCACCCAATCTTCCAAAAACCTAACCCCTAAGATCTAAGTCTCTCAAGACCCTTGCATTACTACTCTGTCTTACAGAAACTTGGACTCACAGTGATCAAATCGATCGACAACTACCGCGTGATCCGAATAACTGAGGACAGTCTAAATTTGGCGCTTAAAATGTGTTTTCACTTAAGGTATTTGCGAACATGGTCTTAACTTGACAGTAGTCGTCCATTGGTGGCGTTTCTTTATGTGCATTTGTAAGGAAAAGAAATTACTCTGCTCTGAAACACCGATTTGATTCAAGCACTTCAACTTTAAGATAATGGACTTTTTTAAAATACTGTTAAAATATCTTCTCTTTTGCCTGGCAAACTTTGCATTGGGTAGTGTATGTTCATACTTTCTTGCGTTTTTACAAATTAATTGCGCCATTTCTTATTAAGAAATAGTGATCTTTACATTTTTGATATCAGAAAATCAAGTATCTCAAAAAGTAACAAGATACGAAGAATCGTATACGATTTTCAGTAGGAGATTTTTTTGCCACTCAGCTCGTATTTGGAAACCAGACTTTTAATCCGGCTCATATTCAATAGCACTGATCCTTGAACTCGTAGAAATGTATGAATATATTTAAAAATTACCTGAATCTGTTATCTTGCTCGTAATTACGCGGCGAATTTATTTAAACTTTAACTCTTACTTTTCTCGATCGCGTCGGAGACCCGCAAACCGAATTATTTTTAAATATCTCTAGGGATTCACGTACTGTTTGACTATTCTTTTTTTTAATAATATTTTCGAGAAGCTCTTCATAAATTTCTGATAGATTTTTTTATCGTCTTCATAGAGTAATTCTGACACAGAGCTGGGCAGAATACTTTCAAAAAGTATTTGAATACTAAGTAGTAAATACTTTACACAAATCAAAGGTATTTGAATACTGAATACTTTTACGTCCAGCACAAGCGAATACTAGATACAGATACATTGAAAAGTATTCAAATACTTAAAAAAATAAGTATTCAAATACCTTAGAATGTATTTGAAAAAGTATTCTAAAGTATTCGAATACAGTAAAAAGTATTCAAATACTTGTCACTCAAATACATTAAAAATTTAAAATAGTATACTAGATAAAAGGCTTAATACTACTTAAAAAATCAAGTTATACTTTGTATGGGGTTAGCTTTTTTTATATTTCTATTGTTATATACAAATTTAAGGGGAGTAAAAAGCGTATTATTATTA